GAAAGGGGCTGTGGAGGGGGGGGGGGAGGTTGCTGTGGACCGGCACTAAACAGAAGGGGCCTGATTTGGAGAGGTGCTCTGCTTCCAGGGGCTCTGGTTGGAGCTGCACGGTGCTTTGTGCTTCTGCAGTCACGTCCAAAGGATTTTTTGGCATGTGTAATAACGACCCTTTGCAGAAATGCTGGCTGTAAATCAGCCGGGTTTAGAAGAACCAAGCACAGCGTGGTGGGTCAGTGGTGCACATCTTGTAATTATAGGGAAGTTGCCTTTAAAAAGAATCTACAAGCCACATCAAAGTTCAATCTCCATCAAGAACCTTGCATTTCCGGGCTCTCTCATAAATTAAAATAAGCCACAAATATCATGGAGTTATAAAATATTGTGAGGATTTATTTTTTGTTTTGTTTGTTTTAAGTGCAGCCGGTTCCACTATATGTTTCCTTTTGAAATGTGGGAAGTTTTCTGATTCCAGAGCAGTGTGATCTCATGGAGAAATCGCTGGACCGGGAGTCGGGGAGTCTGGGTCCTAGTCCTAGTTCTGCCACTGATCTGCCATGAGACCTTAATCAAATTACTTCTTCTTTCCCTGTCCACCCTGAGTCTGTTCTGTTTCTTAGACTGTATGTTTTTGGAGGATTTGCTGTCTCTGCTATTTTTATATATGGTGCTTGGCACCAGAGGGTTAGAGGCTGTAGGTGCTACTGTAATACAGCTAATAATGAGGATGCAAGTCTGTGTCCGTACAGGTTTGCATTGTCTGTATTAGTGGGGATCGGTGGTATTGGCAATTAAAATGCAAGTTTCCACACAGAGCTCTTGGGAACAGCTGTGTTGTCACCTAGGACTGGAGGACACAATGTTCTCTAATGAACACTCCTCCCAATTCACTTGCCCAATTCACAAAAGGAGTAGTCTTAAAATACACTACAGAGATGGCACCTCTTGCTGGCTTCCAGCCACCGCAGAGGCTTTGCTTTGGCTTCAGAGATTCTGTTAATGTTGTGCGTTTCCATATACAGTATCCAGTGAGCTTATTTCTTTGTCGACTAGTGAATTCCTGTCTTCAAAGCTAAGGAAAAGTCAATTTTCAACATGAGTTGTTTAAAAGAGAAGTGTAAGAGGCACGTGGTGTTAATCTACGTGTTTCAATTTGAATTCGAAAAGTCATAATTTGATTGCAGTGTGAAACCATGCAAAGATTGCAGTGGCCAAGATTTGGTGGCCCTTGAAAGAGAAATATACAGTCTACCCTAGACAGAAAAAAACCCCCACCCTAGGTCTAACATCTCAGTCCTTCTCCAGACAGAGACATTAATCCACAAAACCAAAATGGCTCTGCGCCAGTTCCTGTAAGACCCCAACTTCCACCACTAAATAAAAATTCACCTCCCAAACCACAGGCTTTGCAGCACATCTCAACTAGGTTATTTCAGACCAAAACACCACATTCAAGCAATCCTCTCCCTCCCTTTGGGGAAATGTCCTGACAGCAGCTCTTGGCCTGAACCGCAGTTGCAGCTGACAGCCACCCACCTGAGTGCAGCTCTAACGTGGGTGCATTAAATGTCAAAGACTCTAAACCTGCAAGCTGTATAAGGTGGACAGTCTCTTGGGGCTCCAGGCAGGTGGGAGAACCCACCTGCACCCAGCTGCTTGCAGGATAGGGACCTACATGTGGTATTCAGCCCACTTCCAATTGACTAATTGAAAGTAGAGAGAGCAGATGGAGCAGTGGATTACAGGCACATGAACTGCGTTTCATGCCGCAGAACGTTGGTTGGAACATACGCCAGTATCTAGGCAATCTCATAACCTCCTGTATGAACATACGTGCTTCCCCGATGTACTTCGGTAGCTCTCCGGTTGTAAAGTATGAGAAGCACTGCTGAGAGAGGGCAACAAGCTTTGATGAACCAGACGCCTGGGAATTGCAGCCACCTCTAATTATAATTAAAAGGAGCTGTTCCTGTTTTCTAGGACCAATTGAAACTGAGGTTGAAAAGAATGATTTTCTTCTATAAAATTCCTTCATTATTTTTTTTTTTCACAGGGAAGGGAGATGTTTCTAAAAGATCAAAGTAGACTGCTGCACTCAGAGAAGTTTAAAAAGCCTTGTCTGCCCTGGGGACTGGTTCTAGTTACAGATGCCAGTGGTTAGCCACCTGTGTGTGTGTCGTAGTGCAAGCTTACAGTACAGGCAGGCAAAACTGGTGTAGCTGGGCCCAGCTTCAAACAGAGGCAAACTGCGATGATGCCTGAATTTGGGCTTTGCCTGTCACCCATTGTGGCTTCAGATCAGTTCAGCTACAGCCCTGGCTGACATCCCCAGTGTAAATGAGGCCTCCCACCTGGTGTCCTTTCCCTTAGGCTCTGCTATTGCTGTAACGTGTCTCTGTCATCCTACAAGCTGATACTCATATCCAGCTTGCTTGAGCGAGGTTGGTTAGTTTGATAATACAGATCTCAAGAGCGAATGTTTTATTGGGGAGCATCACTGGAGACGGTGAACTTGCAGGCTACTAGGTCCTGGCTTCACATCTTCCTCAAGGAGAAAGGGGGTGAGTCTGAGGGGGCACATTTGAGGTGTTACTGCACAAAAAACATCAAAAAGCAGTGAAGTTCTGCAGCCAATGAATGGAAAGAAGGTGAGGAGAGGCCAAGACTGGGGTTCATAATGGACTGAAGGGTGAATTTTGGTTACATCCTTATTTCCCGCTTGGGATGATGCTCTTGTTCACCAACAGTCAGGCTTCACAATCTTCAGACATTAGCAGAGCACCACAGGTCAATGAACATCCCAGGGTTTGCTGATAAATAAATTGTCATCTGATACAAACCAGTCTTTCTGTGGCTTAACACCCACACACAGGGCAGTAAGTGATGTGAGTTACGGATATTTGTATTGTGGCAGAGGGATAGAATGGACCCCAACCAAGATCTGAGCCCCTTTGTGCTAGTTGCTGGATTAAAACATCCTGTGCCCTGACGTCTTTACATCTTAAATAGACATAAACTGGTTATTCCTGGTTTATAGATAGTGCTGAGAGAGAGGTTTGAGTGATTGGCCCCACCCCCTAGAAGCATGCAGAATTGCTGAGACTGAATCCATATCTCTGGAGTCCAGTGCTTCAACTGCAAGACCAGCCTTTCTATCATGATTAGAGTTAGTCACTTCCATAGGTTTCTCGTGTCCCACTTCCTGGAGAATTGTGTGAGCACAAGAAAACTGGAGAGAGAGCTATTTTCACCTACGAGCTGATCAAAATGTGAGAGCTAGCCAGGTGCTAGAGATGAGGATAAAGGACTTAGCTTTGTAAAATCCTCTCAGCTTCAGCTAAAGTATATGTAATGGTGGCTCCTTTTACTTTAGCGGGAGTCAGGCTAGAAATCAGACTTTTAATGGCCTGACTGAAAGTGGAAAGTGAAATAAAGGTGCATCTATCTAGCACAAGGCTTGAGATACTGTATCTCTGCACAGAACAGCCTTGCAGTTGATTAGCTTGCCCTTATAGGTCACCTTTGGAGACCTACAGGGCATGTTCCCCACAAATCTCTTCCTGATGCAGTCGCTATTAAAACTAAGAGAGACAGTTGAGGGTGCATCTTCAGAAAGAAAATGATCCATGACTTGAAAACAGCCTAACTCTTGGTCCTCTGCTGAGACCCAACTTGAAATCCTCAATGAGCATCCTTGAAATATTGTGAGGATAGAACCATTGTTGTTGCCATCACAGAGCCATGCAGGAGCTAAGTACTGCTGTTGTGGAATATGTTAGCATCAAAAGTCCAGGCTCAGGCCCGTCAGAAGTTTAGACGTGCATTGAATTACATGAATCACTGGTAGAAGCTTATAAATTCAGCATCTCCCAGTCCCAGCACTTGCCTTTCCTCTGGTATCTTCGGCCCTCTTCTTTTGACTTTAGCCAGTGTAACCCCTGTAATGCTTAACATGAAGACTTTGTTTATAAAGAGCAGTTAAATAATAGATTGTATAAGCACATTACACTGATAAGTAGCATGTGTTACCAGAGGGCTGTAAGCACATCAGTAGGTGGTGGAAGAAACCACTTACAACTGTCAGTCTGGGGAACCTGTTGGTGTTCTGAAACAATCCATTAGCCATTTATCAAAACATGCATTAATCATTTATAAATACAACCTTAATGCAGTTAACCAGATCCCCTTTGGA